TTTTTCTTACAGACTTGAACCACTTGCTCTAATACATAGAGAAAATATATATATATATATATATATATATATATTACAAACATTGATAAGAAAAACTATGAAATGTTCTTCTTGATGGACTTTCAATATAAACTAATTTATGCATGGTTTCTCTGGAATCCAAGAAAAGAAAATCATTTCAAATAACAACCTTATTACACATAGTTGCAGTCTGCAATGGAAACTTTATAACAACTGTAGTAGCCTTACTTAGTCCTTGGATATATACGAGCCTGCAATGGAAACTTCATTACAACTGTGAACTCTTCCATCTCTGACAAATCGATATCATCCCCTTGAACAGCCTTCCATTCAAAACACCAGACCAAATTGGCAACAAAGTATTCCAAATGAAGCGTGGCCAAAGAATAGCCAGGACAGAACCTTCTCCCTGCTCCAAATGGCATCATCTTGATCTCCTTGCTGCCAGTAATATCCAACAATTCCTGACTACCATTCAGAAATCTTTCAGGCTTGAATGCCATAGGATCTTCCCAGACTTTCGGGTCCCATCCCATCTGTGCTATCAGGAAATTCACTGTCCCATATCTGGGCACCAAAAAGCCATTTAGAACCACATCTTCTGTCACTCTGTGTGGTAGCACAAAATGTCCAGGAGGATGGCGTCTTAGTCCTTCTAAAATCACCGCTTTTAGATAAGGCATCTTATGCAATTCATCTTCTCTTATCACCTCTTCCTTTCTCTCTCCCACAACCCTTTGGATCTCCATGAATAGATTCTCTTGAATATCTGGGTACTTAACTAAATTCGCCATGATCCACTGCAACGCTGTGGCTGTGGTATCAGTGCCACCTTCAAGAAACTCTGCACACAAACTCACCATTTCATGCTCATCAAGCTTCCTCTTCTCGTCTGGGAGTTGTAGATCCAACAACGTATCAACATATGATAAAACGCTCTCATGTTCATCTTCTTTTCTCTCTTTATCCTCTTTCGCCTTGCTCTTCCGTGCCCTTATCAAAGGGATGAATATTTCTTCTTGACTCCGGCGAATTTGCAAGAACTCCTCCCAACGTTTATAAAACAAAATCCTTGACATTCTTGGCCAGAAGTTAAGCACACTGAATTTCACTTGGCCCAATAGCATGCGACGCTCAGCATCCTCTATCTGTTTGATCTGGTTTTCATCAAGCTTGTCACCAAAACACATAAGGACTAATAGGCAGAACATGGCATATCTGAGATGCTCCACAACAAGCACAGCTTCATCAGTACTAGCTTTTGACTTGAGCCGCTCTTTTAGGATTTCCAAAACCCAGATACGGGCATGAGAATAAGACTTGATGCGAGAAGGGCTAAGCATTTCAGCTGTGAGATTTCTGCGAAGACTACGCCAGGTTGGTCCATAAGGAGCAGTGCTGATGGTATGTTGATTGCTGCTGAGAATCTTATCTGTGGCTAAGGCTGGAGGCCGATCAGCAAAAACAGCTCCATTTTGTACTAAAGCCTGGTGGATAAGGGAACGATCAGTAACAAAGATTGCAGGGTGAGGACCAATATGAAGAGTTATCATGGGACCAAGCTTTTGGTGGAGGTTTCGGATGGCTAATTCAATTTCCAGGAAGGTTTTGCCGATCCATAGGAAGTTGCCAACGATGGGAAAGGTGGCAGGGCCCGGAGGAAGATTCTGGCGTGGTCCTCTGTAGGGGAAATGAAAGTGAAATAAGGCTTTAATGACTGCAGCTATGCAAAAAGAGCAGAGAATGGCAAGCCAAATTTCCATGTTTGCAAATGGTTAACTAGTAAGGTGATTTTGGTGGCAACAGGAGATTTATAGAGGATGAACAGAAGATTAGGAATGTGAATCCGTTCTGTAAGATGACCTGTCCTGCTGTCCCTGAAGTACAACCTTCGCTAGATGGATTTGAAGATCTGACCAAGTCAATCCTCATACATTTGAGTTTGACAATCTGATTGTGATCTTTCTTCTCCAGTAAGGGACAGACTCTGACTCACCAGGGAAAAAAAAATTGCATGAGAAAGTGAAATGCATCAATAATATGGGAAAAGTTTTTTTTGTTTTTTTTTTAACAATTTGTAATTATTTACAAGGTTAATTGAAGGAGGGGAGAAATGAATTCCGTGGAACTCGAATGTACAACCTATGGAGGCGAACAACCTTAACCCAGGATCCGATGTCATTGGGCTGAAGCGGATCGTCCAGTATGATAAAAGTTCTTATTAAATATTAATAATCAAAATAAAATTTGAAATGTGATAGTGATATATATGATGTTACATGTTGTGTTCTTCTACTAGAAGCCATTGATATATGATCTGTAATTGCATTAATTTTTAAACAATTAGATAATTTTTACAGCAATTGACAATGTTGAAAATGACAATAAAGGAGAACTGTTCTTCCACTGATAAACTAATATGCAAATAATTAATTGTGTTCAGTACTACAGGACAGAAAGCATCAAGTGTAGCTACAATTTGTCTACAAAATATACCTTTTTTAACTGTAAATTTAATAATTTATAAGGTTTTCAAGATAAAAAAAATACAAAACAAAGTCATGATTAATGAACATATAAGTCAGTGATATTGGAGGCAGTTATCTAGTCTTGACAGCATGCTTAATGGTTTATACAAGGATTGAAATCATAAATTAAATTTCATGAAGGGAATCAAGTCCTTGACCATCATCGATCTTAGTTTCCCTACTTTCTTTAAATTTTCATGAATCAATGCCTTTTAGTTAATTATTATTGGGAAAATCATAAAAAGAAAATTAATCAATTTTGTTTCCTTGTGCTTCATGCTCACTATTTGTCAATTGGAAACACAATAGAGAAAATGAGCATGCTAAAGAGCGTTATCAATTCATGATTTAAAAATACAACATTGAATTTTATATTATGAATAGAAATAATATAGAAATAAGAGGTAATCTTTTTTTAATAGAAATAAGTGATTACGAGTTTGAATTGCATAATATACAAATAAAATGATTTAAAAAATAAAAAAATTATATTTTATTATATAACTTAAAATAAATTAAAAAAACATGAATTTCATATTTTTCACTAAAAGTAAATTGGTGTAAAGAACGGCGGGCATCTAATAAATTTGCACTAACATCTATTACAAGGAGCATATATTGGACCAGTTTTTTACTGCCTTCGAAAAGGAACGAATACAAAAAACATAGATATAGCATGTAAAGACAGATTAACACACCGTGGTTTAACATCAGAAATTGCTGCTGAAGCCTTTCTATCAAATTTTTTTTTTTATTTTTTATTATTCGTTAAAAGAATTGTATTCAAAATTAATCAAGCAAAACCGATGTATGACTTAAGAACAGAACCACAAAGATAAAAGCTTTTGGTAATCTAAAAATATAATAGAGCAAACAAAACAGAGAAAACACACCTGCTCTAAGTTTCAATATGTATGCAGTCTCCCTATCTTCTTCCTCAGGAGCTTTAAAATGTGGAGTAACGAAGTAGGAAGTTCTATCCTTTTTTAAGACAGAATTATTGGTCCTGCGTCTTTTTCCTCTTATTCTTCTTTAATGATCATGGACCACTTAAAACAATATCGATTATTCTTCTTCTTCTTTTTTTCTTTTTTTTTGTACCATTTATAATTTGGGGGTGGGAGATTTTTTTAAAATATTAGTGAGATTAAAAATCTCAATCAATTAATTCAAATATTTTAAAATTTAAGAAAAATCCACCTGAATTCAAAGTTTTAATTCATAAACAACTAATTCAAATATTTTAAAATTCAAGAAAAATCTACTTAAATTCAAAGTTTTATTCATATAATTTATTCTTCTTTAATCATCATGAACCACTTACAATAATATCGTTTCTTGGTTCGTGGGTTGCTTTCACAATTCAATCTTCATCAATTAAATAAGCTTTTTTTTTGTCATTTAGTATTAAGTCGATGTTTAATTTCATTTTTCTTAATAAGTAATGATTTTGATGTGAAGGGCTTTGAAAGCTCAAACCTGAAAATTATTTTTTTTATTTTAATGTGTGATTTTTTTACTTAATATATTTTTTATGTGTAAGTTTGATATGAATTTTAAATTTTATCAAAAAAATTGGCAACAAATTTAATAGGAATATAACTTACTTTAATACCATATAAAATTAGATATGTGTAATTTTTGATACAAAAAGTATATTTAATTATTATATTTAATTTAAAATTAATTAATAATAAATAAAATAAAAATATATATTATATTTAAACAACACATGCTTTTCTCTCGTGATGCTAGGTTTCCTCATCTCTCCTCCATATCTAGATTGATTGGTTGCAATGTATTTTACGTGCGTAGTTCAGTGGTCACTTGTTGTCCTTTTGGGATAACCCGTGACCTACACACTAACACATTTAATATTTATATTTTTTGTCTCGGATTTAATACCCTCTATACACTAACACCTTTAATATTTGCATCTTTTGTCTTGGATTCAATACCCCTTTACACACTAACACCTCTAATATACTAATTTTTAATTATTGTGCTCT